ATATAGAAAATAATGACAAAGTCAGGATCTCACCAAAACTGGGCCACCCAGGTACACAGGTTATTGGCTCACCCATATAAATAGCCCCTGCCTAAATCTACCTGGCTGGATTATATAGATATATTTCATTTAGGAATTTTGGAAAAAAAGTTATGCACCTCTATTTTAAGCACCCCTTATCAGAGTAGTTGTATTGGACGATGTTACTTCAATTGCATGCTAATACATTTTCTATTTCTTGCTTTGTATACTGACAGACAACCAAAAATAGGAAATTAGTTGTCAATCAATTAATAATTTCCTGCAGTTATAAATCAATCTTTTAATTTTTTTCTCCTCAATTTAATTTAGGGATTGTATTTAATATGGATTCATTATATATCCTGATGCTGAATGAAAAGTAATTAATAAAAGCTAATTCTGGACAGGAGAAGGCAAGTTGTCTAAGCAAGTTGTCCAAACAAATATAATATATATATATATATATATATATATATATATATATATATATATATATATATATATATATATATATATATATATATATATATATATAGCGTACTTGGATGATTAATTGCCTGCAGAATTATTGCCCTATTTAGTTTTAGCTTATCTTATTTAGTTGACGCAACATCATTTAACCAGCGAAAGTGCGCGCTATTTCGTACCCCGAACTTGAACGTTATTTACTGGTTGTTATAACTAAAAAAAATGGCCAAATCAACCAAAATATTATTGGTGAATATCCGTACTATTCGTATTATAGTTAAAACAACCTATATTTATTTGGTTGAAATATGCTCAATTTGACATTTAAATTTTATTTTTTTATTTTTTTTAATGACATTTAGTCATTTTAACTTTTGAATATAGGTTGGAATTACTTTTTTAATTGGTCAAAATAACCATAAATCTTTAGTTCAATCAACCAATAATTAATAGGTTAAAATTACATATTACAGATTTATAGGTTAAAGTAACCATTTGCGATGGTTTGCTTTAACCTATTTAATTTTAGTTGTTTTAACCTATTAAAACAACCTATTTCTTATGGGTATAAACCAACACATTTTTAATGGTTTGTTTTAACCTATTTATTTTCGGTTCTTTTAACCTATTGAAATAACCTATATTTATCGGGTTGTCCTAGACCAAACCAAATAACCTATTTTTTTTGGTTATGTTAACCTATCAGTTTTTACAGTGTATGT